CCACCGTAGCCGCCGCCCTGAGAGGCGAAGTTACCACCGGCCGAGGCAAAGGGGCCAGGTCCGGGCGTGCCGCTCATGGAGCCCTGGCTCATGCTATAGTTGGAGGGAGGGTCCATGGGGGAAGGGTAGCCACCAGAGTCAGCGACGACGGCGGCACCAGCACGGCTGGCGCCGCATCGCAGACAGCATACGTTCTTAGCAAAGTTGTGGTAACCGCAGACCTCATTGCCACACTTCCAATCTCCCGCGCGGAACGGCACAACGCCGCTGCCGCCCATGCGACCACCACCGTGACCCATGTGTCCGTGGTGGTGCTGAGGAGGGGGCATCATGGCCGGTGGTCCGTATCCGTAGCCGTAGCCCATGTCGCCGGTAGGCCCGGCACTCACAGCCGGGAATGAGCAGCGGAAACACGCAGTTCGCCGCTGGAAGTTCGAGAAGCCACATGAAGGGCAAGTCCAGTCGCCAGGGCGAGGGCGGTTCTTGCTGGGCGGGAAGGGGGTGAGGATCTCAGCAGCGCGGTCCAGGACACGGCTAGAAGACGGAGACACTTCGATCGCCTTCTCATTAAGGGCACGACCGTTCATGCACAGACTCTCAGCGGCCTAGGAAGGATGTCAGCAGGGTACCTCAAAAGTGCCACGTCTGATGACAGTGTACAACTAAGAACGCCACACGTAGGTTCTTGATAGACACAATGGACAGTGTGCAGGGCACGATGAAGAAATGGCCAACTCACCTCCTCATGGGAAGAGAACACGGCGAAGCCGCTGCCGGTGGGCTTGTGCTGCTCAGGGGTACGGAGGGTCCAAAACGCAATGGGACGACCGCCAAACTGAGTGAACCAGCTCTCGAGCTCGGATTGAGTGGTATCATGGGGCAGGCCAGACATGTGGAGAACCTTGCTGCGCTCCGACAAGAAAGCCCGCACATCGGCGCGAGCATCCATTGGTCTCGTCAAGACATCGGGGTGCTCATGGGAAGGCTGCGACTTGCGAATGAGGCCTCGCAGAACGCGGGCGAGAGTGACGGCCTCCTCCATGGCGCGGCGAGGAGAGGCAGGAGCCAGCGCCTGAAGGTGGAAAGGCAGGTTGTGCTTGATTGGAGCACTGGACTGGACCGGCTCCACCTCCAAGGCGGCACAGATATTGGACAGCATTGAGGGCCCAAAAGGCAACGATTCGGGGTGGTGCTGCTGCCATCTCTGATATTCGGTTCGCAAATCGAACGTGCGGGAGTGCTGAAGGTACGGGGGCAGAACGACAGCCTTGTCGCGGGCCTCTCGGGGCAGCTGGACGCGAAGGTCCCAAGCATCGAGGGTAACGAAGACGAAATCGAGGTTTTGCGAAGTCAAGTGTTCGTTGGCAAAGGTGTCGAATCGGTTAATGGCATCGCGGAAGGTACCAGCGTTACGGACATGTTCCCAGGTCAGGGTCGTCAAGCTCGCTAGAGGAAGAGAAAAATGCCGAGGTCAGCTAGGGAATTTTTTCACGAGGATGTTGCCCGCGCCTCAAACAGGCGTCATATGGCGTGACGGGAAGGGGATTGAGGTCTCAAGCCTGGTGCGACTACTTACTGCACAGGGGTGTGATCGGAGTGTTGATGGGTTTGACAAGAACGCTCTCGCGGGTGATCTAGAGACAAGCTCGGTCAGCTCTGGGTTGAAGCAGCGAAGAGGGATAGCCCGCAAAAAAAAAAAGCCGGGGACGGATGATGCCAACTCACCTCCTCCAGAGACTTGGCGTCGAGAAGAATCCAGCCGAGCTCAATAACCTCGGCCGAGTCCTTGGTGACGTAGACTCCATGCTCATCGCAGGTGGTTGCGACGTGGATCACGACATAGCGATCGATGTTGAGCTGGTTACCAGCTTGGGAACCAGACATTTTGGCAGGAAGGCGACAACGTGGCCGATGACGAAAGGCTGCACGGTAAGGATAATGGCTATGGCGATGCCTGGGAGAAAGCAAGCCGATGCTTCAAACAATTGTTTCCCACACAGCAGGCGAGTAGCTGTAGGTGTGTGGTTGACTCGAACAAACGACGGATGCTCGGGGGAGGGTACGGGAGTGGTTCCCGGTTCAAGCTTCAGGAGAGGTGCCGAGCAAAGTGAAGTGCACAGCAAAAAAGACCGAAGCGGAAGTTGCGGCAACAAGCAGGCAAGGGCAGAAAAGGAGACGAGGAGGAAATTGACCGGTCCTCGTGTCGAAATACCTTTTGTCCTCGCAGCAACTCGGGGAAGGAGAGGAGGAGGAGGAGAGGTGGGAGGTTTCGGTAGGGGCAAGGAGGAAGGAACCGAAAAGAGGGAAAGGTGATGGGAAGGTAGGAGGGAAGTCGACCATAGACGCAGGAGAAGAAAATTGGTGTTGGCGTGGGACTTGGGAAAATGCTCCGTCAGGTAGGATACCTAGTTTTGTGTGGTGCGTGCAGTGCGAGGGAAAGTACCTCCTCCACTGTCTCTTTTGCTCCTGGGGAACGACTCCCAAAAAAAGAGGATTGCAAAAAGCCCGGTGTTTACAACGGTACGTGAGTATTCGTACCTTACGGAGACTTGTGCATCCACAGGTATACCTATTCCCATACAGTAGATAGTGAGGCAGGTACCGCCGACCTTGCCTTTAGCCCAGGCAGTACTTCCCACAATTGGTCTTTCTTACCTGTCTTGCGTTGCCTTTCTACACAAGTACATGGCAACACCAACGAGTAACAAGAGACGACGACCGGCAGGAACAAAACAAGATGCTGTCCAACGATCGAGGGCGTGTTTGGTGGGCGCAATTGGTCCATGTGCAGCTGCAGCAACAGCACCAACACCCAGGGCAGTACCGTACGGCAACGGGGGGCAGGCTTGGTTCGGTCAGGTACATGACATACACAAGTTGCCGGGCTTGCAATTTTGATACGACTGGTGGAGGCACCCCTGGTAACACGGTAAGGCGACGTGGAGGTAAGGTACCTTGCCTTTCTTGCCTTGAGCTTAGATTGTGACAGCAATGCGAGGTGTTTGGCACTTTCCATCATGAGGTGGCCATGAAGATGAACGTTGGAAAAGTCTCGAATCATACAATACGCAGCCATCGGGGTTGCTTACGGAACCAATGCAAGCTGGCGACGAATTCTCTTTGGCAGGCACCCTGAAATCCCTCGCTCAGTTTCTTCCTCCATCACCATCGTTCACGTGTATGTGTCTTCTCCAAGCTTGAGTGTCGTTTGCTCAACTCGAGGACTTTATTGTCTCGGCTCGAGTTGAGCAAACGACACTCAAGCTTGGAGAACGAAGAGAATCATAAGGGCTACTGCATAAGGCCGGCAGCCCTAGTGCTGCTCCTCGTCGGCGACCAAGGCCATGTTCTTTCTCAAAATTGCGTCTGTACCCTGCAGGGACGGCTCCCGCGATCGTGACTTTCACAGGAAAAAGAGAGATGAGGTACCTCCGAGCAGACGGCTGCACATGACAATCCGTGCTAAGGTAGATCGTGTTCCCCGCGATGTCTCGTCTCATAAGCCTGCCTTGCCTTTGCTTTCTGCGAGCTAATAGTCTCGGTCTAGGACCCCACGAGCTTCGTCAACTGCATAACCCGCCCCAACTTCTCAAGTCCCCTAACTCAATGGAATGTCCCCTTAGTAGGAACCCAAGCGCCAACAGATCCGAGGTGCCGAAGCACATCTGCTGGAGCCTTCGGTTTAGGTGCCTTTCCCCTGTCGCACTTGGGAGCGGCGTCAGTGCTGTGCCGGAGACTGCGGCCGTGCTCGTTGCATCTGGCCTTCCTGCCTGGGCTGCCATGTGCGCGCAATGAACCACGGCGGAGGGAACCCAAGCAGATTCTACTGAGTACCTCAGGTACCTCAGAGAGCAGCAGCACGGCAAGGGAAGGGCCACATCAGCGTCCCATCGCTTGAACCAACGTGGGAAAATGGGGTCGCGAATGAAATTCCATCCGTGCTAAAGAACGGAATGTGCATCCAAAAACCCACCCGTCATACCGCTCGCCTCACATTTGTCAGACAAAATACATACGCAGGCCACAGGCTGTTGACTTCAATTCCCGGGGATACGGGTCTACAAGACGTCGGAGACAGCTTCAGCTTGCTTACCTTTCCATAGGCTCTCTTCCCACCACTGCTGCGACTCTCACCCCCTTTGAACAGAGTCCATGAATCATCCAATGGTCAACTGTCCATTGGCGCTCGACAAGAAATTGTAGACGCTGGAGGGCCGCCGGCGGTGACTATAACCTGCTGCTAGGCTGCAGAAACCACCACATTTTATGCACGGCAGGGCTCAAAAGTCCACTCTTCGACCACGGCGCCTTTTCCACGTTCCCTCGGGAGGGAACCCTTGGACATAGCCACGCTCTCTTGCATACCGGCTCCTTGCCGCCGTCGCCGGATGCTTGGATCTTCCCTATCAGCAGGGCCCCTTCTTCTCCTCTTTGCGTCTTCTCCGTCCAGCACGAACCCGTCACTCACGTCCCTCGCTGCATCGCCCTCGTCGGGGACCAAGGTAGTTGATACTGCAACTACAAGCGGCACACTGCGTCCCAGTCGTGTATCGACCTCTATTGTTCTCCGGGGTTGCGCCTATGCGGCTTTGTCACACATAACTCCGCGACGAAGGAATTCCTGTTTTGGGTTCTGAGCATATCAACACATGCTGATGGATCGACCGACCTTCAGAGGATCATTGCCATGAGCAATCCATAACTGCACAAGTATAGTCTATAAAGCGGCACAATGATGACTACGGGGAACGAGAACAGAGACGTGTTAGCTCGCCCAAATGCACAATATGCTCTTCGATAACGGGTCACTTTGCTACTGTGCCCTAAATACCTGTCGACTTCAGTCTCCGGATGCCTCCCCACCCTTGTTACCCTGCCTGAAGCTACGCTCATACACTACTCCGTACACATTGTCGACTTCCACTCCCCAAGCAGCCTCCCATGACAAGTCGCCTACTGGCCGTTGAGCATAGAGCTTTGGGAAGGACCAGTCAGTCAACATGAGCGTTGAAGAGGTGCCTCGTTCCGCAGTCAAGTACCACTTCCCCAGGTCAAACACCGAGCCGCAAACTGTCTGTTCAAGACAAGTCTAGGGAGCTTGCCCGTTTGAGTGCGTGTCAGAGGACCCGGAGGCGAAAACTGTCTCCGAGTACAGACAGTTGTGGTAGCACGCACCAAGATTACCCACTGAGCGACATCTCCCTGTCCACCACGTGGAGAGATTCAGCTAGGTTTTCGCGAGCTTGGTCAACGGTTCTGGGACTTTCAAGAAGGCATCAACGTCCATGGAGTTAGCATGTTACCAGCCGGCACTCCTTCTGAAGGATCCAACAGTTTTGCAGTTAGCCCCCGTTGGAGCAGCAAAGCGAGCGTTAAATGGCTCCACACGGCCATACCTCACTTGCCGGCACACACGAAGCGTCACCTGGCGCCCATGGTATCAGCCCACAATGATGTATTGACTGGGCCTAACTGGGCCTACCCTGTCGCTACTTCGGGTAGCCGTTCCCCTACGCCTTTGCAGGTAGCATCGACAGTACGGCTCGGTACCGATGGAGAGGAGAGCATCGACACACGTCTCCGCGGTCGAAGGCGACGTAAACAACACTTCACGTTGCCTACCGTGGGCGGCTGATGAGTTTGCTTCTTGAATCACTTTCACAAGTCTGTAAAGGTTGGCGGACGGGTCATGGTTTTGGACCAATCCGCGGGTTCAACGGCTCAGACCTCCCTTATTCAACACACTTCGCAGGGCTCAAGCTTCGAGAAGGTTGGAAGAAGTGTCTTAGTTCGCACCATTACCATCGGCCCCCATCTGCCACGGATGGGCCCTTGGAGCTAGCGCCAGCCCTTGCCTGTCGAAGGAAATCAGACCCCCCCGGCTATCACCGCAGCTCTTCGGCACCGGTTCTGTTACTCTACACAGTACGCCCTCATGAACAGCAGCGTGAGGTCTCTTGAGTCGAGCTATACTAATCAGTCGAGTCGGTCTCGGTGTCCTCGGACTCTGCCTTGCTTCACCTACCGGTAGTTGGAGGTGATATTACCAGGTCTGTGGTGGCTTGATCGGCATTCGTATTGCCTTGTCGATCCAAGTTGTGTTGCGGCTGTGTTTTCGACTATGCCAATTGGTAGCCTAAATCAGAGTCACGCCCAACGTCCCAAGCAGTTTCAACTCGGATGTGTGCTATTCTCGAGGCGCCTCAGCCGAGATGAGTCTCATTTGTTAGACGGCATTTCGAATCTCCGATGGGAATTCAAAATGTGTAAAATTCATCTAATCTAGCCAAGGCAGCGATTTGGTGTTCGCAAGCTTCGCGTGGTTATGTCATCTGGAGGCGAGCGAGCAGCTACGCGGCCTCCGTTTCAAGAGCATGTCGCGGAACAACACCGCGATGCTGGTCCCTGCTCGGACCCTAACGATATTTGCATTCACTGGTTGGCTAGTCTTTATATACCACAACCCAAGTACAACATCTCCGCAACTCAGCGCTTGTTAGCCAATTCCTTTATGGTTCTTTGCAAAAACTTCTTTTTCGCCTAATTTTCGACGTTCTAGACGAAGCACGTGTATACTTCGGGAGAAGCTTGGACCCTGGCTGGAGATCAGCCGGAGCTCCTGAATGCGAAACTTTCCTGCTCGACATAACATCGGTCGCCATTGAAACAGACCGACGTCTATCTGTCACGGCTATGATAGCCTTTGAGATCTCAACGAAACAACGGGCCGCAGGACTCTATCAGGCGTTTAGAGGATGGCTTAGCTCTGGGTACAGGCTACAGAGAATTGTACGGTTTGTTGATCTTCCAGTGGGATGACATGCATCAACACCAGCTTTAAAAGCCGTCTTGGCCATTATCCTTCGTAAGGAGGCACCTTCTTTAGGTACGCCTAGAGGTGTTCTGGGGGTTCACTGTATTTATACTGTTGCATGATTGGTTCCGGTTGGGGAATCGGAGAGATGCATGTCTCAGGCACGCACCATCTGTGGCCGGCAGCAAGCCGGAAGCCTTGCTGGTTCAGCGCACACTGCGTCTCATTGGGGCTTTCCAATGATCGCCATGGTTCTCAGCTCCACGGCCACGACTGTCACTATACCCTTCTCTCTGATGTCTTGAGATTCTAGAATCACATTGCTTCGCCGAGTTTCCGACAAATCTGCCAAATACGGACCAGACTGTCAATATGGATTCAAGCAAGATACATTGGTCCAGGAACCCAAAGGCCTGGGCGGCCGGCAGTGAAACGGCACGTGCCGGTTACGTCATGCACTGGCCACCCATTCCACGTCACGAAGGGCTTCGCTCATTGACATTGGCTGCTCAGGTTACGTAGGTCGAGGGGGAGGCGTCAGGGCGTACGCGCAACCTGTTACCTCTCGCAAAGCAAGACAAGGCAGGTGAGAGCACGGCAACTTTTGGCCGTTCGCCGCGCCGCCGCCTTGCCAGGCACGCCAGGTTGTGTCTGACCCAGGCTGGGGCATTTAAGGTTCTCCTCGCCTCGGCTGAGGTTGACGTCGACTTGTTTTGCCAAATCAACAACAACTTCACGCACACTGATACTTCTTGATACCCTTAAGCGCACGCAACTGAATCAGAACATTCGTCCAGTCCCACCGACGCATCAAGCATCATCCTCGAAGACTATCACTTTCAGTAGGAAAACATCAGACAAACAAAATGGGTGCCATTTCCGCCGTCTTTCTCATCCTCATCACCATTCTGGGTACGTCGCGGCAACGCAACGATGGTTGCACGGATAAGCTAGGAGAATGCTAACATATACTACAGTGCCGCCTGTCGGTGTCTACGCAGTCGCTGGCTGTGGCATGGGTGAGTTGTCCAAAGCCCACGTCTCGTTCAAGGCGGTGGCTAGTGGAGATAGCGCTGACCAGTTCCATAGACCTCCTCGTCAACATCTGCCTGACGCTCCTGGGATACATCCCCGGTCACATCCACGCATTTTACCTCGAATACGTATACTACGACCGCAAGGAGCAGGCGAGGGAGGGCCGTATCATTACTGGCCGCGCGCCGGGTGTCTACAGCGACAACGTGCAGAGCGGCGGCCACGGTTACGGCACGATTGCCCAGCCGACTCACTAAATCGCAAAACTGTGTGGTTACCTAGGGAGGCTATCGGTGACTGTAGCTGCAGCGGAATGGTAGTGCGGCACATGCGCGGCAGTAGGTACGACTATGTATGGCCGGTGTCCTGACGAGCGACATCAGCATCATCTTTGGGAAGGGCGTTCACCTGGCGACAATGAGGAGGCAATGGTCCTTTGGCAGCACGCAGACTGTATGAAGATAAACAAGAATAATACCATCAGAAACTTGACCAACGGCGTGCGCGTGCCTGGCGCGCGTGCAGATGATGGTGCCGGATCTCGATTGCCAGCGCATCCTACCTGGTCTTGCCACCGGTGATTGTGAATATGATTCTCGGGCTATGGAAAGTCGCAGCTCGAGGATGTTGAGGGATACGGTTGAATGAGCAGCACTGTAGTTGCATGCGTCTCGCTTGGCTTCCAAGCTCGAATCAATGCTGCCGAATCGACAGGGCTGGGCAGACAGTGCCATATGGGCGGAACTTATTGATTAAGCCTGGTCGAGACTCGAGGGCCGCTATAGGGTCCACGACCTGCGCATCAGTGTGACGGGACTGCCAATTTGCAATGTGAGTATCCGTCTGCAAAACGACTTCATTTGGCGTGAAAGTGGTGTTGACAATGGTCTGGCCACACGTAAGGAAGTCCAGAATATTCTTTTAGATTCGCTTCTCTGTATCCACTCAACGTCAAGGAATTGCTCAAAACTCCCGTCTTTGACAACTGTATTCTGATTCAACAATCGATACGCCGCCAGGATTGGACCATGAGTGCCAATGAGGGGAAAGCTGGCGCTGGCAGTAGCGGTGGTGACTGGTCATTTTTGACTATGGCCCGGGCGTAGAGTTGGCATTTTTGGGCCAGTCGCCGTCTCGCTATGCTGAGGTGCCGGAGGGTGGGACACTGGGAATTAAGAACGGAAGAGCGACCGGCGGGGAAGAGGACCGTGCCACCGTCTCACAGTATTGCCGTTTGGCACGGTAAAGCTCGCCGTCATTGGACGGCACTGACGGGAGCTCAATGGTAGCGACAGGGGGGGCAGTGTCGGACCACCCTTTGAACGGCAGCCACGACACTCGTGCAGCACGCACCTGCTTCGTTCGCTGGTGCCGCGTTGCTCTAGCCTGTAATAGCCTCTCAAGTGCTTTTCTCTAGCGGCCTACCAAAAGCCGGGCTGTCTTTTTTGGCTGGGCTGTCTGTCATATTGTGTCTCCGGATACCTCTTTTGCGCCTATTGTCACGGTCTAAACTGCAAGTAGCCTCTCTCTCTCCTGCCTCCTGCCTCCTGCCTCCTGCCTCTTCCCCCGCCCCAAAAACCCAACGCTACAACCGGATGCAACTTCACCCTAAACATTTGCCAGAATACTCTTTTTCTTGCTTCCCCCCCTTTCTGATTTCCCTTTCCATCGCTTTTGTCTCATTCCTCCTCCACCTTTCTGCTCCTCTTCTCGAGAGAAATCTGCAATCGCTGCGGGGAATCCAGTTTGCAACCTTGTCTGCGCATCTCGAGGCGATCCGGATTGCTTCCTCACAGAACTCGCTCCACCACGCCGCAGTCACGCTACTCGAATATACTACAGTAGACACTCACACACCTCAATCGCCCGTATCTGCCTGTCTCAACTTAACCCATCTCCACCTCCCGAGACCGCTCATTGCCCATTTGGAAGGACACAGTTCCAAAACGAACGATTCGCACATCTGCTAAAACAACCTACCTGCATATTCTCTCCTCGCCCGCGAACCACATCCCGGTCAGGAACAGCACTCGACATCTCTCTCTCTCCCACGCGCGACGTCCGATACCAGCTAACCATGCCTCCGCATCCGCTGATCTGACTTTTTTTCCCACCCCAAACCCCATCCTGCCGCACGACATAGCAACACCGACTTACCCTTCAAAATTACTACCCTGGCAGCTCATGCTGCTATCTTGTTGTACATATATTTAGCCCGTCGCGCAATCCGCGACCTCCAGTGAAGATGGGTTCAGGGAAGACCCCTCCTCAAGACCACTCCGGTTCATCTCAATCCCGCCATCATCCCCCAGGTGCTCGTCCCGGAGGTGCCCCCGCGGCTACTCAATTCCCTTCCTCTCTCGCGTCCAAGAGAATTTCGCGAGACTCTATATCATTTGCATTTCCCCCGCTCTTCCAGCCCAACACGTCCTCGACATCTCTTGTTCCTTCGACGGCTGAGGGAAAGCCGATTCCCCTCGACGATAGCACCGCCGCACATCGTACTTCTGCCCTGCGCGAGCTAAACAGCAATTACCCTTCCCGCCATCGCTACGCCAAGTCTACCGGTGCCCAAAGCAGTACATACTCTCAGCCCGTCATTGTAAGGACATACTCTGGGTCTCACAGCCGGCCCACCAGTACCAGTCGCAGTAACGGTGTAAGCGGAGGTGGTCTCGGCCCACGAACCGCCTCGTCCGTGGTGAGCGGCTCCGCAGCTTCTGTACGGCGCATCATAGCTCTTCGCACCACATTCGGCGGGACCAAGTCTGTTCAGAATGGAGGTTTGAGTATGGCTAGAGGAATGGCCAAGAAGCGCCTGGAGGGCCAGGATGCCCTAGCCAAGCTCCCGCCGGTGGAGGCTTATAGCTTCAAGAGCATGATGGCCAACATTGAGGCAGAGGAGGGAGAGAATAACATCAACGCCGACCTCGATCGAATTGCCGAGATATGTGCCCGATCGCGATACTCTTTGAGTAACCAGTACGAGGTTCATGTTGCACCTCACGGATCCGGCGCATCTTTCACAAGCCGCGCATCGTCTTCCAGGCGCCAGCGCCAGAGTGCTGGTCCAACACTTGAAGCCGTTGTATCGGATGAAGAGCGCAGACATAAGAAGCGACGGAGTACTGGCAGGAGGAGAAGTATAGCCATGGGAACCTTGGAGACGATTATGTCTTCCAGTCGGTCTTCCGAGGAGGACAAGTCGAAGAAGAAGTCGGCCGCAGAGATCACCGCCGAGGTGCGAGGCAGGGCCGCACGCAAGTCTTCAGGCAGCACGACGCCCACGTCTTCGGTCAGCGAGGGCGAGGGACAGTCAAGCAAGAATCAGAAAGACCAGCCGCCGCCACTAGTCAGGAGGAAATCCTCATCATTCGCCACGGCCATGTTGGAGAGCACGCGACAGTCCGTGGCCACCAACAAGCCTGCCTCGCCCCGAAGCTCAGCAACAGCTTTAGTCAGCGAGCCGGCTTTGCCAAAGACGTCGACAAGCCATCTTGAAGTTCGGACGGATGTCGACGAGAGCGTGGCGCATCGCCATGTCCACAAAGGATCGGACGAAAGTCATCGAGCCGATACATCTGGGCCCCAGCACCACGAGACATCAGCCCAGTCTGATCAGACGAAGACACCGACGGGTCTTCTGGCCGGACTGACTGGATGGGTGCCGTGGAGATTGCCGCCTGTCGTGGGACTTGGCTCAGCGTCTGCTCAGGGCGGCGTGTCGCGAAGCCATGCTGAGGGTAGCTTACGCGAATTGCTCAAAACGGCGGAGTTCAAGATCAAGGGGAAGGGCGTCGAAGGTCAGTCATGAGACCTCGGTGCATCGGATGGCATTGCACATTATGGGCAGCGAAGCCCGGTTCGATGCTGACAGGCGTGCTGCTGAGCACTTTCGAACAAAAGAAGTGACATGACAAGGCGCCACTGGGCTTGATCGCCTCGGTATCAAAAAAGAAAAAAAAAAAAAAAGGACGGCGAGAAATGACCAAAAAGAGACCTGATTCTGATACCCACATATAAAGCGGAAGGCTATACACAAAAATCACAGACCGGAGACGATGACCCCAACAGAATAGGGGTTGCGGCTCATCAAAACTGTAAGCAGTACAACTTCACACAACAACATGAAAAATGATTTGACGACTTTTACGATACACACACACAAGAATGAGAGGGCATGATATTTTGGGAACGGGCTAGGTCAAAGAGGGAACGGTGGCTGTGTTTAAACTATTTTTCAGATTGAGAATCGAGATGTTAAGGCGTTCGACCCGTTTGAGATACTGCTTTCGGCTCTTGTGTGAACCAGGACGTGATATTGTCAGTTATCTCAAGAATTTTCCACTTTCGTTGCCTTACTTGCATCAAGGTAGGCGAGAGAGAGCACGGCTACAGATCGGAAACAGCACAATGGCCATCAAAGTAGTCGCAGTGGCAAAGTTCCGTCATCATCATCGTCTCCTGGTATATTCTTCTTTCTTACACTACTTCGACTAAAAGGTTTACCACAAGTCTCGGAACAGCTGCTTTTGGAGACAACTCACTCCAAGCCGTCTCGCGATGATGATGATGATGATAAGCCAAGCTTGCAGGCAAGGCCTCATCCCCCTCCAAACCTTCCAACCTTTCGTCCAACCCCACACGTGGAAATCCTTTCAAATGAAAATGCCCCCCCAACGCCATGCCAACGCAAAACAATGCAGAAGAGTAAGATAAACAAGAGGTGAATTGGTGTTGGTTGGCCGTATCAAGCTCATCAACGCCACCGGGTCTTCTAGGCCCTGGGACGCTCGACAGCAACCGCCGGCTTCGTCTCCACGTGGACCCTCTTAGCGTCGCCACGGTCGTCGTGAGCCTCGGGTTCCCTCTTACGGTCCCGGGGCTTGTTGTTGTTGCTGCTGTTGCTGTTGGTGCCGCTGTCCTTGGCCGATGCCGCCGCCCGACGCGCTTCCTTTTCTTTCCGCTCGTTCTCTCGTCGGAGCGCCTTTGACTCAAACTCGTGCCAGTCGCCGTCCAAGTCAGCAAGCCTAGAAAATCAGTTAGCACTACATTGCAATAAGCGACTCGAAAGGGGAAAACTCACTCCACGGCCTGTTGCGGAGGCGGGTCCTCGGTGGTAAAGTACTCATCTGCAAGTACCTCGGCGGCCGACGGTCTCTTTGCGGGGTCGTATGCAAACATGGCGGCCAAGAGTCGGTATGCGGATGCGGGCAGCCTGTCCTGGTACTTCTGGGGAAAGGTGTTCGCCCGCCGGTACCCGGGGCGCAGCAGTTCGAACCACGGCATATCGATCAGGCCTGGCCACTCTGCCTTGTTCGGGGTTCCCATCACGGCGTAGATTTTATCCAACTGGTTGATCTCACTTCCATCACCTGGGAAGATGGCATGGCGGGTAAAGATCTCAACCATGACGCAGGCGGCACTCCAGACATCGCAAGCGGGGCCGTACTGCGTCTCACCAAGAAGCAATTCTGGCGAGCGATACCAAATGGTGATGACTCGGTTAGTGTAGTCCAACTGGTGTCTTTTGGCGTAGAAGCGAGCCAGACCGAAATCTGCCAGCTTCAAAACGCCGTCACTGCTAACGAGGATGTTGGCAGCTTTGATGTCTCGGTGAAGAACGCCTCTCTTGTGCAAATAATCGAGTCCATCAAAAAGTTGCATCGTCATGTGCTTCTTCTGGGCCGCGTCAAGCGTGAAGGATGGATGATTCAAGATGCCTGTCAGGTCGTGTGACAGGTATTCGAAAACCATGAAACAATCGTTCCGTTCCACCATGACCTCCTGGAGCTGGACAATGTTTGTATGCCGCAGTGACTGGAGAAGCTTGATCTCGCGGACCGCCGTAACGGGGAATCCGTCTCTCTCACCCTCCATGCGGATACGCTTAAGCGCAACAAGTCCTTTCGTGTAGACGTGCAAAGCCTTGAAAACCTTGCCGTACGTGCCTGAGCCTACGACGGACTCGTTACCGGGTTTGCGGAAATAGACAGACTCTGACTTGATGAGATCGTCCGGAAGTTTCGGTCCTGGTTTCAGGCGCTTCATCGTCTTCTTGATCTTGCGTGTTCTCGGAGCGGTGGCCTGTCGGGGCCCCGGAGGTGGTTGCCTGGGATCCTGGCGGGCCCTCGCCGACGCCGGTTCGGTCGGGGCACTCCGAAGAATGTCCTTGTCAATCTGCTTGTCCTTCTCGCGGGCCCTATCGCGTTCTCGATCACGACCATGGTCGCGGTCGCGATCACGTTCGCGATCTCTGTCTCTTCCTCGGTCTCGGTCTCGGTCACGCTCCCGTTCACGATCTCGTTCGCGATCCCGATCCTTGGAGTCATCCTGCTGTGAGGTATCCCGCTTTGCAGGAGCGTTGAACTTTTGAGAAATCTCAGGCTTGGGGGCCGTCGGAGTGGGCTTTGCAGATGCCTTAAACGCAAAGCTGAACTTCGACGACGAAGATGAGGCCGACTGGGCAGCCGGCCCAGAAGGGGGAGCCTTTTCGGGTCGCTGAGCATTGCTCTCGGGAGCCTTGTCAGACGGTGTGGTATCTTCGACCTGCATGTCCTTGGATGGGCGGAACGGGTTCTCGCCGTCCTCTGCATTGTCGCCAACATCGGACTTGCTACTCTGAGCAGGCGTTGCAGAGTGATGGGACTTGATGTCATCGGCCCGAGAGCCGGTTCCCGAGGTGTTGGATGTCCATTGTGCAGTGCTAGCACTCTTGAAGCTGTTGCCTCTGTAGCCGCCTCGACCAGGTCCGAGTGGGGTCCGAAGTCCCCCACGGAAGTTGCCTCGATAATTGGGATGAGAATAGTTCGTGTGCATAGGTCCTGTCGGGGCGGATGGCGGTGGCGAGTAGGAGGGATTTGGTGTATAAGCGCCCGACGGTCCGGTGGGAGGACCATAGTTGGACTGCGGATACTGAGGGGGGTATTGACTAGAAGATAGTGAGCAAGAGTGTGACGGCAATTTGATCGAATGTTGTACGACATACTGCGTTGGAGAAAATTGAGAACCCCAGTTTCCCCTGCCAGCACCGTATGGTGACTGGTTTGGGGATCCGTTGTATGAATTGGGGGTTGGTTGCGGGGATTGAGAAAACTGTCGTGGGTCGCTGTACTGTTGGCCGTGGGCGAACGCAGGCGGCCCCTGAGAGACAAAGCCCCCCCGATGATTCCCTCTGCCACTCATGCTGACCTCCACGCTGTTGGCACCAGAGGACGGTTGAGACTTGGAAGTAACTCGGGATTCGTCGCCTTGTTGCCCTCGTCTACCAGACCCCCTACTAAGGGATCGAGTGGAGGCACGGGACTGGGACAGCCTTCTACGCTGCCTATCTCTGGAGCTGCGTCGCGGTGATGCCGGGCGACGGTCACTTCTTGTGGATGTGGAGGGAGGTCTCGCTGGTGACCTTTGACGATGCGGCAGCGGAGATCGATCTCTCCTTCGACCAGGAGACTGCTCACGGCGGCGTGACGTAGAGCGATCACGACGATCTCTTCGTTTCTCTCTTTCAGGCGAGCGAGTCCTGCTTCGATGCCTTCGCCGACTTCTTTCCTTGGGCTTTGACCGGTATTCGCGGCGGTCGGGACTGGGTGACCGTCGAGAGGGACGTGGCGAGCCTCGTGCACTTCGACCAGCGTCTCCGGGGGCTGCTTCGCGGTGATCACGACGCGGGCTGTTATCTCGTCTGGGCTTCTTTCTCTCCGTGGCACTCCTGTCAAGACTTCGACTCCTTAATCGCTTCGAAGATGGAGACGCGGCGCCGTCACCTCGCTGTGCTCCTCGACTGCGATCTCGCGGGTGCTTGGCTCGGGATTCGCGCCGCGACTCCCCAGTGGCCCTGCCACGAGATCGATCACGAGAGTCTTCCCTGTACTTGTCGCGACGGGAAGGCGACGGCGATGCTCGACGAGGTCGCTCTCTGCTACGTTCGCGTGTTCTATGGTGGCTTCGGCCAGAAGGCTGCGACTTGTCGGGAGGGGGTTCGCGCGGTTTGCTGTCTGGCAATCTGTCTGATTCTCGAGGTCGACGTGGTGGAGGCGAAGGAGATCTGCGGGAGCGTGTCACTTCTCGACCAGCTCTGCCTCGGTCTCTGCGCTCATCGCCTGATCTGCGGTCGTCTCTCATGGCGACATGTCGAGGGCGGTTGCGGTGGTAGGACTCCATCGCTCCAGCCGATACGATTTGAGTTTTTAGGTATGAGCACGTTGCCTGCCGAAGTTTCCCCGATAACGTGATATCGCCGTCTTGTAAGCGTGATATGCAGTTGTCGGGGTAGAGTAATGTGGTGCCGCCAAACCACCAGTCCGTCGACGATGAAAAGAAAAAAGAACGAGCAACGACGCAGTGTGGAAGATGCAAGGCTGTGCTCATAGTGTAGAGCCTCCATAAGCACCAAGCAATCCCGCTCGATGGCCGCGGGTTTTTGCGGTGTCGGCGGTCGGCGTATCGGCGCGTGCTGTCAAATGGCATATGCAGCATGCCATAACCACCACCAAAAATCGCTGGCTCAGAAAGTCCGTGGATCTGATCAACGTCCCCCACAGTGGTGCACTTGCAGAACCACAGCCGCGTTCCTTCTACCTCTTTCCCCAAAGTAGTTTTGGCTCGTCTGATTCAATCGGAACCCAGCCAGCCTGAGCACCAGCCTGAGCACCAGCCTGAGCACCAGCCTGATCCTTGCCAGTCGCGAGCCAGGCTTTGTTTGAGGTGTTATCCCACAAACCTCTAGCAAACTATCTGTCCTCCTTCTGCCTGTTACCTTGCAAGAAGGCATGAGGTCGAGGCAACAATGTCACTATGTACGATTTACGCGCCGATACCCGCCAGTTCCTCCTCCTCACTCTCAGGCCCGCAAACCCTGTCTTGAAGTACAACATTCAGAAGCGTGCGGGCAACTGGGCCAGACGCTGGGTTGGATGCCGACCTCTACTGGCGTGCAGCATCTGCGGTGGCAGCACATTGCCACGATCTTAATGTCGATAGAGGGCAAGAGCATCAAGGCTTCGACAGCGTTGGGGCATGGACAGTCGTGACCCGCACATGTCGCATATGAGGAGTTGGTTTGGCAACTTCGGCAAAAAGCCTTGGACTTGCCTCTCGACATGGTAACGGTGGGTGCTTCAATGATGAGCCCTTTGGCTGGGCATGTCTTTGGCATCAGTGCCTCGCGAAACCATCCGTCCAAACGACCGAAACCCCATGCCGCACTTATTGGCCTGCTCTAGGCAAAGATGAGTTCCGCCGTTGGGTTCATTCCTTGATCAGCCCCTATGATTGTCCTTGAATTCGAGATTAGCCATGATGGCCACGGTATGGCGTAGTAACGATCAGTGAGCATCGATATCGTCAGATGGGCGCATCGGGCGCATCTTGGGGTATAGCGAGGGTTGCTCCCTCTCCGTCGTCGCTGTAAGGGAGCAAGGGTCCCACAAATGGCAAAATGGCAGCAGTGGCATAGCCATAGCCGCGACTGAATGATGGCAGATCCTGCTTTATCCTCCACGATCAAGAGCTGTGGCCAACTATTGACTGCACCAAGCGTCAGATACCGCCATTCCGTCAGCCCGTAATCCCAGGCACCCGTAGGTGCAGAGTCCTCCCATTGTCAAAAAGTCCGTCGCAGCGATTTCAGGACATGGCGCGCAGTCCTTTGTGATCCAACATGCACCTTCGTGCGTCGTTGCGGGTTGGCTAGGGTTGGTTAGTCGTGATGATTCAAGTTGCATGTGGTTGACGGAATGTCTGTCGTGGGCCGAGCGGGAAAACCTTGACAGCGCGCTTACAGTCACGTGATGGCTGCGTTCGGCTTAGGCGGGCGGGTGTCACTCGCTTAGTGCATACCTGCCTCTGCTACCGACCTCGTTATGTGCAGCCTGACCTTACAGCTCCTAGTTGACGATGGCATCCCTTTCGTTCTTCTTTGGTCGCAACGTTCCGCCCAAAATAGTTGATCAGTGTCGAAGAATTCAATCGTAGCTGTTCTCCCATTGCCAATACATCTCCTAGCATCCTATGTAGGCAGGAGATACCACCAAGAATGCATGTATCCCTATTGATTATTGGGCGAGTTCGAAATGGGCAAAGCAAAAGAAGATTCGTATGGGTAATTAAATTAAGCTACCACCTATCTCATAATGAGATTATTTGTCCAAGGAACGAACCACGTATAGCCGTCTCTTTCTATGCCTCATTTTTAGAACCTGCCAATCTGGCCTAGAACAGCTTGGAAAAGGAGCTCGAATGCTAGTTAGGCGTCAAGGCTCACCTCGGAATTCCAAACCGTCTCTCATTTCCCACCTGCGGCTCAACGGGGCCCACGGAATGTGGCCCCGGGTCAGATCCCCGAGAGCTAGGGCCATCAGAGAGACTATGTGACTGTGGCAGTTGGACTTGTTGGCAGTGTTATCAACAACAGAGAGGAATGTCGGGAATCCTGCACTATGCCTTTGGTAGTTACACTGCCCTCTTGAGCTACAGTCTCGACCATTATATCAGCTCAGACGGTAAGGCGAGCAAGGTTCGACCCAAGTTTGGGACGAAGGTTGTTGAAGCTTCGGTCCGTTGTCGTACCAACACTTGCCAGCTTCATCCCTAGATACAGGACGATTTCCAAGTCCCGAACGGGTGAGACAGAGTATACCAACAACATTGGGGGTCGCAAGAGTAATCAAAGATTTTTGGCTCTATCAATTCGAGTATGACAAAAGTTATTACGTTTCTAATTGTCTGTTCTGCATTCTCAAACTTTTGCAGAAAGATTATCAAGTTGTCGGAGATGCAGGCGTCGTGGTCCGCGTCTTTGATCTTAAGATATCTTAGCCTCGTAGCAGCAATGCATACTTGGCGGAGTCTAAGTGGGTGGGATAGATCTCTGAACGACCGTTGGAAAAGTGGTAGATGGGATCGTGCACTAGGATCTGACGATGCGTTCTGCGAACTGCGTCTAGCTGGAAAGCAACGAGGAGTGTGTGGGAATTCGGACCGAACGTCCTAATGCGGGAGACTGGATCTGATTCTGGGGGAGGTGAGCAGAGCCTCTGCCACAGCGTACTTGGATGATCAAGATCTCTAGTCATGAAGGTGGAGAGAGATCCACCATCCGTGAGATATTCTGAGGTCCCTGTCTTTGTCAAGACGACTCCAAACTCTTGACAGTCTATTGCACCTAGCTATCACGTTTTGTATGACCTGTCGAGCTGACTAGTAGTTAGGAATGCGAAAGCCCGGCGCCTAGTCAACCACCGGAGTCTGGCAGGTGGTAGAATCAAACATTTCAAGTGATGTAACGGATCGCCATCGCGGGTGCGTCCGGATACATTTCCAGATGGATGTGGCCCAGATGGGAGTCTTGGGCTGCGTCGCCCGTCATTTACCCGCGGTGTCTTGAATGTTGATGTCTCGAAGGCCAATGGGAGAAATGAGAGTAGAAATGTGGCAAAATAATCCAAGGTCAAAACTTTTTTTCGCCAGGAATTGAGACACCACTTGGGGTTTTTTCTTCTCTACTGCGTAAGTACTCTGCTAGATTTGGCATATCTGGGCTAACGATTTCCCATCGTCGGCATCAAAACCGAAGCAGGATCTTTGCGTGTGTCTGCAAGCTTTAGGTTGATGGACTGATTGGCCGGCCCCGGGATGGGCGTTCCTTTTTTCGCTTTATCTTTCGTCACTGGGACAAGAGCTGCCAAAAGTTGCAGATGGGGGAGAGTCTGGGGATGGGCAACCCCGCAAAGTTTGTCGTCATTCTGACTAAGCTGGGCCGGAGAAAGCTCACGAGAGGTCCCCACTTCCATCAAAATTGCGTGAAGCCTGGCGTTCCCAGGCCGCCATTCCACGCGTAGCCAACCCCTGCAAGTACGCCAGAGGTACATCTGCAGACACTTTCTGCCCAGCACAAGCTGCGCTCTTTTCAATGTTGGATCATGATGGCAATTCCGATACAAGAGGCAAAGGTGGATGCAACAGGGCCCTCCGCTGCGATTTCTCTGGGCAATCAAGGAGTTGGGCGCTTATCCTATAACGGAAGCGGGATAATGCACGTTGAATATCGGAATCATTAGGATGCAGGAAGAGTTGCATTCGGGAAGGCAAGGCGAAAGTCAGCGACGGCGAGTCCGTAGGAAGACTTGGAGTGAGAGAATAACAGCGTTCAGAGGGGGGGACATGACAGTTGGAGAAGACGAAAAAAATACACTCAGTTGCACACCCGGCGCAATATGGGAAAAGAATTTGTTGAGCGAGGTCGCGGTCTGGACTTGTACCGGCCTGGTATTCCGCGACCAAACCCGCCCAAAACTGCAGAGTGGATTCCCGCTAGTGGTAGCTTCGGACAGGTCCAGGGGCCCTGTAATATCCGCTATTGTTGTCCCACTCTATCAGTGCTTCCTCCACGCTGAACGCGCCCATCGCACCTCGCCTCACCCGCACTCTCCAGTTTCCAGTTGACAAACCATTCCCATCCCCATGGTGGAAGTCAGGCGTGGAGGGAAGTACCTTGCCGTGCTGCCCTCTGTCCCTTGGCTTTTCCACTTCTGCTACTGTCTTGCTTCTGGCCAGAAAAGTCTCTACATGTCGACGCCAGTTCGTATCCATTAGGCATAGTCAAGATCAGCCAAGATACCTTCAGGTAGCTTCCGCGAAAAAAAATATTGATACATTGGGGTTGGCGGGCTGTCAACACATTATCAAGGTATCGCCTCAGCTGTCGTTAGCGCGAACAGGAAAAAGCTGGGCTGGCCACTGGATGGGGGACCTGCTGCTGCATTGTCCAACCACGCAACCACACCACCACACATCAGACCAGGCCTTGCCCACGCGCTCTCGCTCGCTTCTTTTCCCAAGGCCCAAGGACCTTCGTAGCTAAAACCTTTCTTCCCCGCAGACAACTTCTCTCCTCCTCCACGTCAAAAGAGCTCTTGAACTCTTTCTTTATCTGCCGTCGCCGTTCCTGTCCAGCTTTCCCAAGACCTTCCACACCTCCCATTGTCTGGAAATCAAAGCCTTGTCTTCCGACCCAAGCCATCTCGGGAGCTTCTCCAAGTTCCGACGTTTTCACATTTCCACCGCGTCGCCTTGGTTACGGGTGAGTGCTTTCTACATATTTGCGTCATCCAAGCTCCCATTTAGTTTGGGGCCACGATGCAAACTTCCCAGGCTCCTTTTCT